ATAGTATGTAAATAACCAAATAAGTATCGACATTGCTGGTTTCTAAATCACTCGCTGTGTACGTTTTTATATTATTTTATTCGTAATTAACACTGTTACTATAATCTATTATCTAATATTCTGAGCCATATTTCGGGGTCTACAATTAAAACAAAATAATGTGTTCGGTTGCATATTATTATAAAATATCCTAATTAAGACAACATTTTTATTACTTCATCAGTTTTATTATTTTTAATAACCTATTGCATTTCAACACTTTTATACTAAGAATAACTTTTACAGATTTGCATTACAAAATATTTTCGTGAATGAAAAAATAGGACAGGTAAACATTATTATATAGCAAATAGTCGTCCGCAATTATTTAGATTTCAAATACTGACATCGATTTTTTATGTTTCATGATTGTTTTACTTTCTCCTAAATTTGTATAAGTTCGGTACAACGATTGCATTAACTAGTTAAACATTTCAAGTCAAGTTAAAAACTTAATTTTTTAACGAACTTAATATCCTAATTACCCGGTTTAAATTACTACTGTAATAATTTAGATTCTTCCGATAATTTGAAAATAAATCCACAAAGTTAATTTAAAATGTTTTTGTTTAATCCCGCATTATCCCTGTATTATATGGCGTCGTTAACACGGTTTTAAGTTAAAATAAACTAATACAATATTTCTTATCATTCGATTGATAGAATTTAATATTAACTATTTATATAGGTATGCCTAAAACTATGTTTTCACCAGTTACAAAATACAAACTGGAATCTATAAATAAGAAAAAAACTCTAACTGTGCATTATGATAAATTGAATACATATAATATTAAGATCTAAGAGTTGAATTATTTATTGTTTGTAAACTATTAAATTATAGCTTAGACAACATTCTTATGTAAACTAACTCCAATTAATTGTATTTATTAATTTGCCCTACTAGGTAGCTGGTAGTTGGTACCTCATATGGATTTTGAAATCAATGTAAATTATAAATTTGTTCTGATACACTATTATAAAGCTTGATTCAAATTCTGATGTACAGATTGAATTCTAAAATCCAAATAAAGTTAATTGAAATATATTTTAAAACTAATATTATATATGATCATTTATAATTTAATCCGGATTATTCAAACAACTGTCAAAAATGCAGTATAACTGTGCAAGTTTTTTTCTAGTGGACCCGATAGGCGATAATAATCTTCATTTAATCGTACCCATAAGAATTTAATACGGCCATAAACGGCATAAGCGTATAATATTACAATATTACAATAATAATGCTCGTTAAGTAGATGTACATTTATTGCGTACCTTTAGATATCGTGCATATTTTTTTATAAGACAATCGTAACGCCAGGAAGCTTAAAATTTAAAAGGAAAAAACACTTGAGAGTTTAGTCAAATCTCATAAAGCGCAACGAAAGAACGCGTACATATTATTATTATTAAAAAAAGTAGTATACAACTTTAGAACACGAGTAGGTAATTAAAAACGAAAGATCGATTTCGACGTTAAGAGAACGTTTATTTTGCGGGCAATTTCGCCTTAATTATACCTAAGGTACTCGTATAATAATAATATAATGCACTCATCGTCGTTAAAATCCAGTATAATATTATGTAATAGAAATAATGATGACAATATACATTGTGGAAAATCTCTAAGCATCGATTTATTTTAACTGCAAGTTGTTATACGGTTGTTTGTGACGACGACAACGACGCAGCCACCCTAATCCAAAATATCGAAAAAATACCCCCCCGCTTCACACCCCCGTCACATCAACACCAATACCATCGGGGCCTCAGTTCGGCCGGCAAATCGTCGCGGTGCGTGTTAGCTCGTGCGTTTCGAGAGGCTTTTCTCGGGCGAAACGTGCGCTGGCTTTCCGGCTACAAGTGAAACGTTTTACTGCGGTCTGCGCTTGCCGCCGCCGTCGGCATCGTCACATATACGTACTACGTACATACTGTATATACGTAAAATATACTTAACGTATAGGAAACACGGTCGGTGATCACTGCACCAACGTCTTTAGAACATAATACGTATCATTTTATGTTTATAATAATATGTACGCCGTTCTCGCGATGAATTATATAGGTAGGCATGTATATTTTAAAAAAAAAAACTATCATAACGCACTCTCTGTTCGACAGGGACGTGCTTGAGGAACGTCTGTGTGTAGCGTGTGTGTGTGTATACGTGCATCTGCCCAAAGACTCCCTGCTGATCATTGTGTGCAGCGCAACTCCGGCAAAGTCAGTTTGACTTATGTGTTTATGTGTATGTGTGTGTGTGTGTGTGTGTATGTCGATGATCGCAGCAACCGGCTTCACTCCATCAATGCGCCATTTGCACAATATAACATTATATTATAAGGTTCATACAATAACCATAAAAGGGACGTGTGCCCCCTCTCGACGGACCCTCGACTGTACGCTGCAGCAGTTTATTATTGTTATTATTATTACTATTATTATTATTATTATTATTATTATCATATACTCGATGAACATGTTTTCCCCGCGAAAACCTCGTTCACAGAACTCATTGATATGCCATTATATTATAATATGCCACCACACCACACTCTCAAGATGCACACACACCGAATATTATTACTGTTATTTACTGCTCGACTACAATATTTTAGCGCGTGTCTCGAATAAAACTTAGTGCAAGAATTATAATATATTATTATTATAGGATACCACTATTCAATGGATAGTTATTATTCGAACTTCGTTACTGTGCTAAGAAATTATACGGTCGACCACGTCAAATACTAACTATTTAATTGATAGTTAATAATATTGCTATCTTAATAAAAATATAAAACAATTATTGAAATATGTTATCATGTTAGACTTAAGGTGATACTTAATTTGGCTATAATAATATTAAATTAATATACCTACTTCTGCACTCAGCAGTCAGTGTATTTAAATAATATAGACAAAAATAATAATTTTGACTTGTGCAATCTTTCATTATTTATTGTTAACTTCCTAATATCATTATACTATATAAACTGTGCTGAAGTACCTATAAGCTTAAGAATTATTAATATTAAAATATCGTATCTCAACATTAGAATAAGTTAAATACCAATCCATTGTACCTATACATATTATTGATCTGAAAAACCTCAGCAGCTGGAAACTGAGACCATCTGATATTCATATATGATATACCTACATATTCTAGGTGATACTCACAAAATTAGTTTTTATTTAATATTATTTACGATCAGCCAAATATTTAATATCGCCTATAATAGTATAATGCAGTGTATCACTATATTGATAAATAGTTAGTAATATTTATAATCAACAGTACTACTTCAAAAATATATTTATAATAAACTATTATAAACTATTAAAGCAATTTAATTTTGAACAATCTATCCGATTCTCTATAAATAAATATAAGCACCAAGCTTACTGTTTACTATTAATTCATTAGCTGTGCAAACAATTAACCGTTCACCGAGGGTTATTCTATGTTATTATCTTTTTTTTTAAACTTTACCTGTTGACACGTCCGGTCACGCGTTCATTAATGTCAATAAACAAATAGAGAAGTAACTCCGTTTTATTGCGTGCATTTTGTTTAGTAGCCCGTAACAATTTTTGGGGAAAATGCGTGTAGCTGAATAATGTATGATTGTCAAAAACAAAAGTCAAAACGGCCCATTGTCCGCACCATCGGACACACACAAATAGTACACCAAATAATGATAATAACAATAATCACTAAAATCCCGTGGTCGAATAGTTTTTTAAAGCAATAGTTTATGTGTAATAATATAATATATTGTTATATCATTGCGTTAATAATCGCCCGCAAAATTTAAAGGATATTTTTGACATTTGAACAACAATGGAGGGGACGCGCATTAAACTCGCTGTCGATCGGAATGCATATCATGAGAAAAATCGTGGCTTTTGTCTCAACGCGGGACGAGGGTGGTGGCCGCCGAAAGACCGTAATAAATTTGCGGGACGATGATTAATGCGAATCGTTACAGTATTAAAAACTAGTTTGGGAAAAAGGACTCACGGGAAGAGAGGGCACGTGCACGTCACTGGGCCTGGCACGTGCGCACCGAGCTTCCTGGACTTATGACAATTACCATAACTGTTATTGCGTTAAGTTATTAATCTACTCGATAGGCTCTCTCGCACCCCATGGCTCATTTTTTTAATTCATAAGTCACCAAACTGTTATGCAGTTCGTTCGTTCTCTCTCTCTCTCTCTCTCTCTCTCTCTCTCTCTCTCTCTCTCTCTCCCTCATTCTTCCTCTCCCTACATCTGCGTGTAGTTAAAGCTCAAAATGCGTATAACAACAAGGCAAACGATACGGTGCGGAACATCGTCTAATCAAACGCCGGAGCGCAAGTACATGTATACGGCAATATAATATAACGTGGCCTATAATTTTCAGTGCGGGGAGAAAACGCAATTCCGCACTTAGAAAACTTTTGCGAGCACAGAAGGCGATCCGCTACGTCAAAAGGTGTGGTGCGCATTGCCCCCCCCCCCGCCAATATATGCATTGTACATCGTACGTTGTTTCCGAGCGGGGCTTTCGGACAAACGGACCGCGAAGCTTTTAATATAGTTATGCGTGCATTGTGCCGGCGCGTAACTTTCGGCCCGAGTTTAAAAGTTGCCAGTCCCCGAGGAGTAGCACTGGTTCCACCTCTGCTTTTTATACGTTCACGCGGCACAACAACTGCAGTCTCCGCAGTGGCGAGTGTATACTGTATAACATATATATATCGTTATGTTGAGCCCGGCATAAGTTTTGGAGCAACTCGCCTGAACGACGACAATGGCTATTATTTTAATGTTTGTTTTCTGAGCCGTTAAATATGCTCATTGCCGCTGGGGGAGGGGGGGGGGGAGGGGGCTGCTTAATTATCGTACCGACTTGACTGCAATATTCGATCTGGTGTTCAACTATAATATCGTGTTGTTGCAGGATCGTCCGAAACAAGGCGGCTGAGAAGGCGAAACACGTGCACAACCAGCAGCAGAACCTGCACCACCAGCAAAACAGCAACAGCAACGGTAGCACGGGCGTTCCGTCAAGTCAGCAACATCATCAGCAGCAGCAGCAGCAACAGCAACAACAGCAACAGCAGCAACAAGGTTCTGGTCCTGTGTCGGTGATCGCCCACGCGCCAGCCCCGCAACAGTCTGCCGGAGGCGGCGGTCACCTCCACGACCGGTACAGCATAAACGGCATACTTGGTATACCGCAACACGACCCCAACGGTAACGTGACCACGGCCAAGCGGAAACGAGATCTGGACCATCACCACCATCACCAGCAACACCAGAATCACCATCACACGGGTAAGCATTGGTCAATTGTAAATGGTCCGGTCGATTTGCTTGGGGTCCAGCTAAAACTTTCTTTTAAATATTTTTACTCGAAGGCTGGAAATACTTGGAGCGATAGTTTGCAAGCTCAAGTTCACGATAAACCTAACCTAACCTAACGTGTTATGACTTATGAGCGTACCGTACCTATGTATATGTGTTGGACATATACGGAACACAACACTAACCATTTACCGGATTACCGGAACCTGAAGGATTAATATAATAGAATGTAACGTAAACGCATACCGTTTATGTTCGTCGAGAATGTGGGCGCGCGTGTTTGGGTCTGGAAACGGTGAGGTTGGGGGATAGGGGGGTGGGGGGGGGCTCTAGCAATGTGTGTTCTCTCTGAATGAGTTTTTAGTGGATAGAAGCAGTAATATATGTAGTGGCTGAGTCGTAGGAGTGGGAGGTGGATAAAGAGGATAACGATGACGACGGCGACGCGCGACGCCGACGACGAAGGGTATACCGAAAAGTTCTACAAGCTATATTGTTACCTAGCAACGCTCCATTACACCGCCATAGTTGTCCGGCCCGCGCCGTCCCTCCGGGCGAGGGCGACATCCTTCGAAAGCTTTTACTTCTCTCTCCTCCTATATATATACCCTTAACCTCGCCCGCCTGCCTCTCGACCACCGTCTTCCTTTTCTATACGCCCGTATATGTATATAAATGTGTGTGAGTGTGGGTGTGTGTGTGTGTGTGTGTGTGTGTGTGTGTTCGTTTTCCGATAAGTTTATACCGTTGCCGTCGCCGCCGCTGCGCTGCTGCAGCCACCCGGTCGACCGTTACGAACATAATAATATATCCCCCCCTTCCTTCACGACTGCTGACTGTAGTGGAAGTGGAAAACTACTTTCCACCCAAGTGCGTTACAGCCACGTCGGAAAAGTCTTCGGCGTTATTACTATCACTACCACTACTGCTACTACTACTACTTCTACTACTGCTAAATAATAACGATAGCAGTATACATGGTATTAGAAGTAGTAGTAGTGGTAGATACTGTATACTGCTGCAGTTTCGACTATCTCGTGCCATGGTAAGGGTGGAAAGGGGTAATGGCCTAAACTGCAACGCACAACCTTACCTACTTGGAACACCGTATCCTCATAGTTTCTCACGGACTTTTCTACCGTCGATGCAAGCTTTCCGTTTTTTTAAATATTACTACCGGTAGGTATATTATATTATATAATAACGGGTCGTTACAAAGTAATCATTATTTTTTTCATAAAACAGGGATGGGAAAATTACGGTACACCATCTTCTCAATTATTTATCACATAAATAAAATTTTCCATACTCCTGGCACTGCAGTGTAATATAATATTTACTTTTTATTTCCTTGTGGAAATAATTAAGATCCATACTGTTGTTCCATTAAAATTTATGACTACTAAAATAAAATTAAATAGGTACTTTTTAGTTCTATTTTTGTAGTTTCACAATACATATTTAAATTAAAAACGTTGTACAGCATTCCAAAATTCAACTATGTTTGATAAAAAATATTCAAAAGACCAAAAATTGAATGTAGATATTTGATGACTGATAAGTTTCTATAAACTGCATCACATCTATGATTTTCCGAGTAAAATAATTGTGTTAATAATAATTTAATAAATTATAATATTATTTATGACAAATGATATTTTTTCTAAGTGAAAATTAAAAAAAAACACATTCATGAAATCACGGATGAATGGCGCATTAACATTTTTAAATTGTTGTAAAACACTAAATGTTGACGACCTGAATTATCCTTGAATTTGAGCAAACGTTTTAAGAAAATACCGTAAAACAAAAAATACAATTATACATTTAAACATATTATATTATATCACTGAAAATCAAATTACATTGCGCAGACACTTTAGAACAACATCGGGCGTAGAAAGAAAAGAAAATCGTGCTCAACAATATTGTATTTGTTTCAATCCACTTAGATTTGTGGAACAATTTTGAGGGTATAAAACGTGAGTTGAATATTATTGTCAAATGGCATCTCGAGCGTCTAGAATTATTTTCCCTTAGAAGATACGTGTAGGCAAACAGCAAATTGAATAGCCGAACGAAAAGCCTTTCACCCTGTCTGGGTATCCGTGTAAAGGGTTTTCTCTTTCGTATCGTTCCTTTCCTTTCGACGCATTAGGCTCACTTTGTACAGCGATACGCCATCGATATTGAAAAGGTCCTTTTATACACGTATATTTATATATACAACCCTTACACGCTTTCCAGAAACTTTGACAAACTTAAAATCCCTTTTGTCTTCGTCAACCCTTTCACGGTCCGTGTATATCCGAAGTCTTTGTCTATATTGTATTGTTACATAAACAGTGTATCATATATATATATTGAAAATAATCGACAAAACAAAAAAAGTTTGTATTATTTATAAACAGGCATTTCGAATTAATTAAAATCGATACTCCCTGCTATATTATGTCTAACTGTCCAACCGATTTTTATAAAGTGTGAATTTTCATTTTTCAAAACAAGAAAATCCCATGGGACGTTTAATCTCAATTTTTCAGGGATCAAAAATATATTTTTGACCACCCGGAACAGGTCAGATAACAATAACGTTGCATGCTATACAACCCTCTCATTGAGCTATACTAAAACTCGTAGGTCAGGACAAGTCCACAACATGCTTTTAATTTTCAATATTATCGGAATTGCACAACAGATCCGCATAGTCCATATAAAACTATTCCTACCGATTATCGATATAGCCAATGGCGAGCACTCTGCAGTTTCAAACGAAATATAATTTAAAAGCAATTAATAGTACCTCTATAATATTTATCGTTATGGAGTCGGTTTTCTGAATATATTTAGAGTATACGGTCGCATTATGGTTTGTCTGCGGCCTGCGCTAACTATAATATATTATTATATTATTATATTGCTGCACCGTGCGCGCGGAAATAGTTTCGAGCAAATCAAGTAACGTGATTAACGGCCTTCTTTTTCTTTTTTCTTTTTTTTGTCGAGGGGCACAGGCTTGGGAACATTATTACTACTCGGTTCTTGGAAAAAAAAAATATTATAATACGACTCGAACCTCCTACGCCGCCCGACCGCGACAAATTTAAAAGCAGTCGACAGAAATCGATCATTATTTCGCGGAAAGCCATTACCGTCGGGCTGCGCAAAGCGAGCAATCAGATTTATGTCGAATTGACAACATTAAGCGCGCGCGGGCGGCCCGCGTGTGTTTTCGGAAGCTCCGGCGGGAGGGGAACACTCGCGTAATTCAATATATTAGTTTGACATTTAAAGCTTTGAATGCATATTCCCAACGGGAACGGGGTAATAAGCAGCGAAACACAATCTGCTCTTTGACCCCGGGGGAATATTTGTGTGTAGTAGTATAGTCGGTGTTTTTATTTTCCGAAAGGGTCAGGACCCGGATGCGTATACATGTATATTGTACGTATATGTACTGCCGTGTGTGTGTGTGTGTGTGTGTGTGTGTGTGTGTGTAGGTGTGTGAGTCGTGTTTTTATGTTTTGTTTATTTTTTTTTTTACGCAATCATGAGCCGAACTTTAACGAGACGTTTTCGTATCGGGACCCCGGCGAGGCGACGCGGTCCCAAAACGCGCGGTTTGTTTATGTTATAATACATCCATGTTAATAAATTGTTGTTTTTCGTTAACCCTCAGACGAAAACCGAGACCTGAACGGCCACGCAGACCACCAGCAGCAAATCAAGAGGGAACGATCTCAAGTGCACTACAACGGCGACGCGTCGCTGTATTCGAATGTATCTGTAAGCGCTCGTTTGATTTCTCGATATCGTTATCCTGTATCCGCACCTGCCCACAATATGACACCGTTTTATTTCTCCTCAGCTTTGGCCCGGCAAGTGGTGTTTGAAAGACGAACACAAATTGTTCTCGGAACTGAACGCGGCGGGCGTCACGTCCGGTGGAGGCACGTCGCCGTTCTACGACGCCAACCAGACGGCGTTCTCGGCGACACCGTTATCGGCTGACCTGTACGAGAGCATGCAAGCCCAACCGCCACAGCAACAGGCCCAGAACGCGACGCCTGTCTACACGCCGCCCGTACCCACCACGCTCGGTGAGTGATTAATAATAATTAATAATTATAATTGTAACCAAATGCAGTTGGTGCGCATGATTAGCCGCCGAGTGTTTAGTGCCAGTATAATGTACCTACTTACTAATAATAATTTGATAATCTCGAGTACATATAGTTTAATATTGTATACAGTATGATTTACCAAGCCCATCATGCTCACCCCCATTTTTTTCGTTTAGTAATACAATTATTGAAATCCCAATTTTTTTAAATGTTCTTAAGTGTTTTTTTAAAAAAAAATATTCTTGATGACTGTATTCTCAAATTAATGCGACTGTAATTTGGCGATACAAACTTTTTTTTTTTTTGTTACAATAAGAAACCTTTTTTTTTACTGTAAATTATCAAGCCGATATTTTTTCTAATAATTTGGAAGTGCCTAATTCAAAATTCAAACGTGTAAATTATCAGTGGTTGTTTGTATTCAGGATAAAAAGCGGTAAAAATGCTAAATGTTGATCAATTAACATAACTAAAATGTTGAAGTCACCATAGCCCTCGTAGCTTCCAAACCCATTATCACAGACCTGCTACATTTAAAGTTCACGAAGTTAAATAACTCAAAACTACTCGATTCTGATTTTGAGAGTACATCAACATTTCCAGAAAAACTATGGTACAATTCAAAATAATTTACGGTTGAAAAGGGAGATTCTCATTTGGATAGTGGAAGTTTACGTCTCCATACTATTGTATAGTATAAAAAAATTGTCAAGAATTTTAAAAACTGCATCATTGAGGAAGAAAGGGGATGAGCATGCTTTATGAATCACCCTGTATAATATTATGATAAAACCGTAGTGAGATTTTAGGGAGTTTTGTGTACTTACGTAGAGTGTTTTGTTATTGTTTTTTTTGTTTTTTTGTTTTTCGTCCAGTCGGTGGAGTTACTCCCCTTGCCCCGTTAACGATGCAAGAGATCCAAAAGATGAGCCCCAGTACCGTTTTAGATCATACCCATCTGTCGCCCGTACAATACCACACAGGTGAGTCTTCCTCCGCGGCATGACCACCGACCTCGTCGGTGTTTTACTTTTTAACGTTTAGAATATATATATATATGTATACGTTTCACCGAGTTTCGCCGGTCAAAATGGATTTCACTGACAGTGCCAGTAGGGTACATAGTACACATATATACTATTTTATGGACTGTGTATTAGTCATATGTCAGCAACTATATTAACTGCAGTGCTACATGTATTTAGGATCTGGTTACCCAATAGCCACCCTCAAAATATACTTTTATTCGCCACCCCTGTATTCAGTAGCTATTCGGTAAAACTTTCCTTTGCACTCTCTCCTCTCTCTTCCACCCCCCCCCCCTTTTTAATATTGACATCTAATTAAATTAGTTTTATAGTGGTGTACATTAAGACCTACACTGCCATAAATGAAAATTAAATACAAATAAGTAGGTATTATACCCATCATTATATGATAACAATCCATTTGAGGTATTTTTATGAAACCTCGCTTCCCGGGGAAATTTCTCCCCGGAGACTTACTCTCCACCCCTCCCAAAAAAAAAAAATACAAATCTGGATAATCCTAAATACTTCACTGCAGACAATATAACCGTATTGACCGGCCGGCTAGGCGTTTCGATCGCATGGCATTTTGTTTTTCGTTTTATTTATGCTTGTTGTGATGGTTTGTCTCGCGTAGATAGCGGTACCGCCCCCGGTGGGTTTAGTAACGGCGGCAGTGGCGGCGGTGCCGGACCTCAGCAGTCCGGCGGCGTCTCCCTGTCGTTGTCAGCGGCCGACGTCACGCCCGCCGGATCGCCCGACCCGTCGAGCCTGACCGTGTTGCAACCGGCCAACAACAACCAGAACAACGGTACGGTGTACGCGGCCTCGGCGCCCACCATGTTACCGGGTTTCACCACACACTACGCCACTGCAGGTAAGTCGCGCGCCAGCCCGCAACGCTAATAATATTACTGTCGACTGCACCGATGACGGCCACGTACGATCGATCGATAAACTGCATGTGTTGCAGCGCATAATCGTGTCGTGGCTTACGGGCGATGTCACTTAAATCGCTGGTAAACCTGTCGATTGTTTTTCGTTCTCGCGGGTGGGGTGCATCCGAGTGCCCCCCGAGTTCGAAAAATAATAACAATATATTATACTTAATAATATGGATTTACATGATAAACGACGTGCCTATAATAGTTTTTTTCTCGTTTTGTTTCAGGCGCCGGCACCGAATACGCGTCGTACACGAGCTCGCCCTACAATCAGTACGCGTCATCCCCATACGCTGGTTACAGTTATAACCCCACGGGCACCAGCGGTCTTCTCAGTAGGTATTTCGCGTGAGTTTTGGTCTACGCGAGTCCGCCGGTCTCGGCCATACACTATGTATTATTGTACTGAATTCTTATACTTCGGGAGTTGAAATATACCCTGCCATAGTTCATTATAATAGTCCTGCAGGTATTCCCAACTATTCTATTTTAGGAATTCAGGAAGTTATAGGTGGGAGGGTCATAAAAAAATGTGGTGTACATGTCAACCCATCCTAAGGGAGTAAAGTCGATTCTAACGATCATCAAACGATTTTAGAATGTAATGAAATAATGGCTCTGCAGAGTGCAGACAGAACACGATTTTTCTTCTGTGAAGATGGATTCACGCCTCGTCGTGGCGTGTAGAGTTGAATACATTCAACTTGTAGGTTAGGTGGGACCAACATTTTGTTACCTATGTATTAAACATACGACACGACACGACGAGGTAACCACCTTAAGACATATAATCAAATAGGCCATGAAATCAATATATAAACCATATAACCACAACGGTTTAATACCGGGGAGCGATTTTTGGTTATAGCTGCATTTGCAGTCTACTCTTTTAAGACAGATACGTCAGTCGTGTCACTCGTAGAGCCTGAACAATTTGTACAAAACAATATAATATATGTCCTCCTGTTCAACAAACACACCTAAACCCAGCTATTTTATGACCTGGTTTCTGGTCGGTCGTCTGATATTTCAACCACGATTCCGTTTGATGCTCGTATAAAAAACATACCAACAATATAGTACAAAATTGGTGTTATTGTCCATATTACCGTAATGATTTATACTACAACACCGTCGTTACGTTGTGCGTTACAGATCACCGTTACTATTACAACAACAGCAACGGCCACAATAACAACGCGCACGAGATCTGCGGCAACGAGACGGGCAGCAGCGCCAGCATGGCAGCCAGATCGCCGGTGGCGGCCACGAGGGCCAACTCGGCGGCCTGCGCCAGCGCCTCGTCGCCGCTGGGCAGCGCGTCATCGCCGTGCCAGGCCAACAACCCGGGCGCAGTGACGTCGCCGTACATCGGCATAAGTTAGAGGAGACCACACGGAGAGAGGACGACCGCCGCCACGGCCCAGCCATCATCAAAAATAATTGATACATAATAATAATAATAATAATAATAACTTTTTTATTTTATTATTATTATTATTATTATTATTATGTTTTGTGTACGAATAATAATTAGTGTACCTACTACGTTGGCGATGTACAAAAATGTTGATTTGTATTGATCAAGGCATAGCAGGTGTAGGTACTATTATAGCATGTGTCCGCAGTGTATGTCACAACAACGATACCCTCCCGCCCTGCAGAATAGGTACCTATCGATATTATGGAGTGTTCAATGAAATTTGGTTCTTTTTTTTAGTTTTTTTTTTAAGCGCGTTGATAGTGCGTGTAGACAGATTTCGTGAAAATCATCAAAATTACCGATTAACGAGTGCCGACAATTATTTGTATTATTTTGTTTTTATTTATAAACGTTATATTATATACCTACACATACAGATTAATATTATATAATATAATATGTGTACATGTAACTTTAATAATATTTAAGTCATAACTCGGAACGCTGTACCTATAATAATAATATGTTTTAATCGAATCGATTAAATATTGAGTCGATAGTCGTATAGTGCATGCATAGGTATGCACGATTTTAGAATATAAACTATAAACACGATATTATACATAATATTGTAATAAATTTGCTTACCAACTCTAAATATATTTTCCCCTTATTTGCTACTTTTTTCCATAGAAAACCAAAGATATATTTATAGTGTTGTTATATTTTGTACAGAATCCGAATCTTATGTATATTTCTATACATACATAATATTACTATATTAATCGATCAAATCGCAGTTTATTTATCATGACTCATGATTTTTAATGTTATAATATGTTATATATTTGATGTACATACAATAATTATAAATGTAACTATATTTAATAAAATAATCACACTCTATCTGAACGTTTTTCGTGACTAGCCAATAGATATTGGATTTGTAAATTACTTTTAATTAGATATCTACATTTAAATTTTTATATCAGTGGTTCTCTGTTGTTTACTTAATTAATTTTTAAAGACTACCTATATATATTATGTACCTCCACTACTTTTATTTTTATTTTTATTTGAAAAAGGATAACGAATATAAAGCTCATATTTAACGCTCTCTCGAAACAATTGATCTTTTTTAACGTTGTTTTTAATCAAATTCTAGTCTAATTTTAATTTTATTCGAATATAATTATTAATAAAAAATTTGTAATAACCAAAAAATTTAGGTTATCATATTATTTTGTTCATGTGCAACTTATTATCTATAAAATCCAAAACAAATTTTACTCGTCTTTGAGACGAAATATGTGCAATGTCTGTATGAATTTGTATTTATATATTATTATTATTATTATTATCATTATTATTTTTTTTTTATTATTATTATTTATACATATAAAAAAGTAATATAATGTATCCTATTCGAGTACTTTTTTTAAACATAAATCGAACACACCCTAGTCAATAAGTGATGCTTCAACGCACTAATCAATGCACTTAAGAGATTTTGTACTTACATTTTTAAATTTTTAAATCTTTAGACGTTTTCTATTTATTAAAAATGTTTACAAAAATATGTAAAACATTATCTTTATTATACATTTATTTGTTATTTTTGTATTATTTTTCTTATTTCAATTAAAATGTATTATAATTCTCATAATATAATTTGTAGGCGTTTCATGACTTCAATTGTATTAAGTAATTTATTTATTCTGTGTTAGAAACTCGATCAGTTATTGTGTTATATACTTACTTACCAAAGAAAACTTTTAGAATATCTTGAAATTCCTTTTAATAAAAATATGATATATATTATTATGATAAAACTATAGTGTTGATTAAACTGTATATTATGCATAATTAAGATGTTTGTGGTCCCTTAAGTATGCTGTTTGACCAATATTGTACTTAATAATAATGAATATAAATTGTAAAAACAAATTATTATACTTATAAGATAATAAAAGAAGTCTGTTCATGAATATCGTTGTATTATCATTATCTTCACCTTACATTATATATCTGAACGCGTCTTCAATAAGATATTCAAATGTATTAAACTTAGTTATTCATTTGTACAAGCCGATTTTTAATGACAATTTTACATTTGTTTTCTGTTATACCTACTATAAATAAGTATACTAAATGTAAATAATATATAATAAATAAAAGTTAGACTGCTGTATGTAAAATATAACCATAACAATAAGTATTAACGTTATATATAGACTTATAGTGGCTTGATGAGGCGAACTTGCTGCAATCAGTTATGTGCAGTGGCGTAGCTAGACACTTTTTTCTGGGTAGGCCCCATATTTTGATGTAAGGATTACAAATGAATATTTTTAGAAAATAAAAAAGTATCAGAATACCGTATTTTATACATTTATTATAGGCAGATTACATGGATTTATTTTATGTTTTAAAACTAATAATATAAAATTAAATTAATAAAATAAAGATATAGCTTTATTAAAATATTTCTAGATTGAAAATTCCAATTATCTTTTTTCATTGATGCAAACTCGTCAATTACAGTAGATGGATTTTCTATGAATTGGTATTTATAACTATAAGGAATGTTTTATTACATTTTAAAATCTTAGTTTTAAAAAGAATATTTTTTATGAATTTCTAACCCAAAATAATTTGCACATTTTTGTGATAATATTTTGTCTAAAGTCGAACATTAAATGATTAAAAAAAAAAATTATGGCTATGTATTTTTAATATTATAAATATATACAAGTAAAATAAAATAATAAAATATTTTTCAACTGTTATTGCAACAATATATTAGAAGCCTCGTAGATCTATGGATACTACTTTTAATATTTTAATAAATACAATTTTATAAATATAACAACATGTGATATAAATCCCTACGGGTATATATAACTACAGACAGTTGTACGATTCGAATAATAATATCATACACATTTCTATGTATTTAGCTGTACGCGATAACACTGCAGTGCAGAATAATATATAATATTTTAATCAACCGTATATTAATAATAAAACGTTCCCACGCAGTGCACATTAAGCCGTTTAACATGGACCGTTGTATAATAATTGGTCCGTGTTTATCGTGATACGTATTAAATGGAATAGGTGCCTCACGAACTAAAAATTCTCAAAAATCGAATGCATGCACAGTCGCATCTTGTACGCCTGAAATGGGTAAATAAGGTTACCTCCATTTACACGTCATAAAATACGCACTATGTACAGGGGTGGATAGATAGTATTTTTATTATAGAGAAATATTTTAAGGGGCCCCCAAAGTGGTTCTTCAATTTTATTCTCGTATTTTTTTTCACAAAACAAAATTCTACACTCAAGGTACATTTATATTTAAAATATTTTTACCTTCTGCCCGAGTTCGATGGTTTGCACGACGTGGTGGACGTATTACATATTATGTAACTGGATAGAAAATCTAAAAAATATATTAACACAGTTATTTTTTACAGACATTTTAAGTTCAAATTTTGACGGAATCACATATTAAAACTTAGAATAACGGTTGTAGTTAATTCGTTGTAATTTTAAAATATTATTCGTGGATACTTGAGACTTTTAGAGTGCATTATTATATTGTACATAGTAAATACACAATGACATTTTCAAAAGTAATTTTTTTGGTAAAAATACATTTAACCTATTGGCTATTGTAGTAGGTACTAATGCTTAATAATAAAATCAATTACTTAAATCACAACAGTATCATACAATTTACTTTGTAATATTATATATAATATAGGCTGACGGACTGTCTTCACTCAGAATCGTTTATCGTTTACAATGATTATTAATTTCAAATTTAACCATTTCTAGTGGCTAGACTCCTAATGTACCATGTATAGCAGGGTGTTACCCACTTACTCTCTTTTTTCTTTCTTAAATATTATTATTAGTCCCATTTTGATAGTAATAATACTTACATGTTTCAGTAGGTAGGAACAAAAACAATTATATTTATCAACGATTATATCTTAAATCATGGTTCAGTCTGAACATTGAGAATCCTGATGATTCATCAGAAAAACTGATGACAGGTTGTACAGCGGTATCCTCACAAGTTACACTATTATCAAAAATGTTTAAATTCAACTGTTTATTTGGATATGATATTGGTGTACGCGCACTTGATCCAAGGTCATTAGGCTCAGAAACCGAAACAGTTGAAACAGAAGTTAATTTTAAATTACCTGATGTGATTAAAAACGTTTCATTTTTCGAAAATGAGCAACGCGACGGACTAATTAAAAATAAAAACGAAATATAATCACTACTTTGTACTAAAAGTGTTCGCAGTGACTCAGTGCGATTACTAATAAACTAATCGACAATCGTAACTCGTAAGCGTATCTATTCGACTACAACTTATATTATAGTCTCGTTATTTTTGGAAATAATCGTCAATTGAATGGATAAGATTAATATCTATCATTATGGTAATTATAGTTGAGAATATACAGGTAACGGGCAATATGGGCTGTCGGGCTGTCGGGCTATAATATTATACACTGGCACAATAAATTTCGACGGATGCCGATTAACAAGAATTGATCGGTTATTAAACCACAACACTCAAAATAAAATACGTGTCATTAACTGATTTGCAGAATCGATTAAAAACCATCCGGATTTAATTTTGTTAATTAAAACCGTATTTACAATATATTAATTATATTATTTTAAATACATATTATAGTCATATACATTATACATTTAATAGGATAAAAATAATTTTTTGAAAAAAGTGGGTAGGCCCGGGCCTAAAATAAAAGGCGATTCTAAAACCGATTCTAAATAGAGACACGATCTATCAGCGATGTCAGGTGTCACTATGTCAGCCTATACTACTAAGTCTTATATTTTATTATATTATATTAATTATTATTATATATTGATATTGTAGTAGGTAGGCAATATAAAATTATTTATTATTTTATTTTATAATAATTAAACATGAATATAAATTATAATATAATATAATATAAATTAAGTAACTCGTAGGAAAAAGTTTTGAGTAAGATTTGGTTAAGCCGGTGAAACATTTCATGGAGTGATTGATTATGTCCATATGTTGTTGTATACTGTATTATGCTATATACTTCGGAAAAAATTGGACATTTAGAGAAGTCTTCTACTCCAATATAATTATGAAATAAAAAATGTAGGTAGTGGTTTTCGTTAAAAAATTTAAAATTTAAAAACTGGAAATTGATTTTAATCACCACGTTGCTTCTATAAAGCGAACGTACAAATTTAAAATAATTAATGAATATCTACGCAGATACATCAAAATTACTGTTGTTTTTAGAAAATTTAATACAACTCTCGTTTAAGATTTGGTTTTTTTTAAATGACTTAATATCAACTAAATACTTACTCTAAAATCTAATGTATTTTCAGACTTGTGTTTTTTTTCTATGTCTGTTTATAATGCTTTTTGTTATTTTTTCAAAATGCTTGAAATTTCAAGTTCCTCGTGAGATTTTCACACCAGTGACAAAAATAACTAAACAAAACTGGGTATCTATACAAAGCTATAGAACAATATATATATAGTCAACATTTTCAAAAGAAGCATAAATTAGTTTTACAATAACATGTTTTCATTTATTCATAATAAATTAATATTAAATGAAAACAATTAATACAATAACATAACAAAAACGTTTACCAATTTGTGTGAATCACATACTTTGTTATCTTAGCTGCTCATGTTTGGACATTATTAACTATATAATATTCTATAGTACGCGCTTCATTATGCTAAGCAAGACATGAGCCGGACGAATTTCTCTGTCATAATAGTATAGTATGAATCATAACGAACGACGTCTACTTTAAATCGTGGTTACCAGTTGTACCCTACAGTTGAGGTGCTAGGGGATTGCAGACTGCAGTACACGCATGACGCATAATTAGGAGCCCTCATATTTTATAACTGTAATACAATCACATACGTTTTATTGATATCAATCAACATTAAATAATTACTTATAGACTTATGGTATAATTTATTTATAATCTTAAAAATAAATTCAATATAAAAAAAAGGATATACCAAAAGAACAACTTGCTTCACGTTTTTCATTATTTTTGTTTTTGTTTTTTCGTATCAATTTGAAAAATATTGGGAATTTTCAATTTTGACCTCTTAGAATACCAATAATATCGAATTTTCTGTCAGATATCACTCTCAAAGTTCAATATTACAGCATTTTTTTTTACTTAATAGATACTTCATTTCAGTACACGTGGATTGTACTATTGTGCACTGACCTAAAAAACACACACACACATCATAGTCAAACCACAACGTTCTTTGGTTCATTTGAAATCTAAAAATACACCTGAATCTGTATAATATCTACCACAGTGACATGTGACTCGTAGGTCAGACTTATCAGTTATCGAGGGAATAGCTGATTTGGGTGTTAGGAGAACTGAAAATGTACACAAAAATTTGTAGCGTAATGTACTTTTTAAATTTCCTTATTTCCACACCATATAATAAGTATACAACTCACCAAAAATGTAATATATACGCATTGGTGCAAGCCACCACATCCCTAAGTCTATAATAGGTCTCAATAATTAAATTATCAATTAGGTATTTCAAAAATCCCGCTAAATGCTACAAAATTCCAAAAAATCCTAAATTACCGTATTGTAAAGGTCGAGTGCAATGGTTGGTCACATTGTAGTTGGCCGTTATCAAGTAGTTTATCTATATTTTATCCTATCGTCGATTATTGAGTTAATTAATGCAGAGAATATTATGATTTGTGATTGTCCCGGTAATTTTTTTAATTTAAAATACTGTTATTCTTCTTTTCTTCTATAATTTTTATTTTATTACCGTCTACAGTTTCTTAATAATTTCTTAATATGGAAGAACGCGAAGATGTTGTAGATAAAATGAAAGAAAAATTGGATGACTGCCGTTTGTGTTTCAGCTCTACCAATGTTACAGTACACATAGGGCAGCATGTTGACAAAAATACATCAATTGTTGAAAAAATACAATACTGTACTTCACTAATCGTATGTTTTGTCATTTATTTAGTATTGTTGTCAATACAAGTTATATTTAACCAACTCAATATCTATTCTTCAAAGTTCGGTTTAAATTCTAACAGTGGTATCACATTAATTTTATATTTAATTAATAATAAGGTTGAAGAACAAAATCATTTTATACTCTTTTAGTATGTTGGAAACTTTGTTTCTTTACTGGATACCCTTTTGTATGCAATTTTTTTAGACTTATGTAGTTAACTATACTGAAAACAATGGTGAAGCCAGAATTAGACGGTAGGACTTGGTTTCAAAGTTATGGCTTAATGAAGTGATGCTATTTTGCTATTTTTATGCATTTGCACATCCTTCTAGTTTACTGCACCTATTAGATACGAATATTTATGTTTCTTTTTTTGAATCTTATGAACTACAACGTGTTAAGAACAATGGTGCAATCAGAATTTGTTAGGTGGACAGTTTAGTGACATGCAAATTCCGGGGAATATAGTTATGAAAATGTCCCCTGGGAGCATAACTAGTTTTTAAATATTGATGAATGTTTCAGCGTTAAATTAAACTTATAGTTGTAAATGATCCAAATGACAAATATTTTATATCAAAAAATATTACAGCCTACAGTAGAATACATTTAATTTAATTAAGTTCTACACTTAAATTTAACTATAAAATATGAGTAATATAGATATATGGTGACTCCATTTGCCTACTGTCTTGAATTCTATTACAAAACCAAATCTAATTAAGATTATGTACCAAACCAATACTACTGGGGTTTTTTTTAAATATAAATATATGAGTATAGTAATATTAGATATATTGTGGTACAATCATATATGCCAAAAAACTAATACTTATTATAATAATTATTATCTGAATTTGCTGATAATCAATTTTTCGACAGCATAAATCAAACTCTTTCACTACTCCAGACGTACTATTAGGTCCAAAACATTTACAGCATTCACTGCTCTGGGCATACTATTAAATTCCTGTATTTTATAATACTACCATTTGCCAGTAATTGTACAACTTTAGGAAACCCTGTCTCACATTATTTTGAACTAAAATAATTAGTTCTCAAAAATGAAATTTAAAAATATTAAATTTTATATAGTATACACAGGTTGCAGAGGATAAATAGTATAAGAGCAAAAAGGTAATAATCTATATACTTAATTTATAATTAGATCCTGATGTTTTGAATTAATTCTAATCCATGAATTCAATTCTATATTCTCATTTTATTTTTAAACCAGAATGTACGGTTATACTTAGACTCAAGTAAAATATACCAGGTGGCGACCTATTTCCGTCCAGTGGCGCTCATTTCCTATATAACGACATAGGTTAGTGACCAGTGACAGGGGAAAAAGGGCGCAGAACCGTTGTATTTTACTTTGATGCTGAGTATAGGTATAAATAAATCAATATCAATAACAGAGCCAACAAGTTGGTACCTAATTATTCTATAGTGTACTTACATTATTTTAGATAATAGATACCTATCTATTTTATGATTAAATTTAACTTGTATTTAATATTGTAATCAAAATGAAATACAATAGATATATGACTTTTCAGGTGAAAGTAGGTGATAATTTTCCTCAAAATATTTGTACAACTTGTGCTGAAAACCTAGAATTTATCTATAACTTTAAAAGTAAAGCAATAGCATGTGATCTTGAATTATCAAGGAACGTGCACAAGGACATACATTTTACTTATATTCAAGTTTCAGATGATCCATTAAATGTAAGTGTTATTAAACAATATATGAAATATCGATGAACTCACTAAAATTTTATCACTTTATTATTAGATTACATACAAGTTAGACTTGGAAGAACAAGATTCTTCAGCTGATTTATTTGATAGTTGCTTATATAACATAGTTGACGGTGATGAACTAACAATTGAACCTGTCAATGTTACAATTGATAAAAATAGCAAAACCACTGTGCACATTGACGATAATGCAAGTACAGTAAAAAAAATAATGAATGATGACAAAAAAAAGGCAGATGTTATTGCAAACAAATCAAATGGGAATTTAAACAGTCATCAAGGTTCAAAAACTAGTAATGTATGTATACAAATATTTTATAACCATGGACAATTTTTCATTTAAAGTATATGTTATTTGTTTTAGAAAAAGAAAAGTACATCAGTTGATTTAAAACGAAATTCAGATAAATCGTTGATTGACAAGGAAAAATGTAAATCAAAAAAAATCAAAAATGAAAATGAAATGGATAATGAAAAGCCATTAGTTATTGTTAAAAATGGTAAAGTTGTATATATTTGTGGTGAATGTAATTTTGAAGCAGAATCAATGATGTTCCTAGTTAGTCATCGAGCTCGCTTTCATTTAGACATGGGTAGTTTCAAGTGTTCAGAGTGCCTAACTTATTACAAAACTTCAGGGTTGCTTAAGAGACACACTTCAATGCATCATAATGTTACCCATATTTGTAAATATTGTGAGAAAAGATTTTCAAACAAACTAAGTCTTGATCGTCATGCCAATTGCCATCATAATGAAACTCCATTAGAGTTTCAATGTGTCACATGCAATGCTTATTTTGATACCATGGACAAAATGGAAGACCATTTGGTTGTACATTATACAAGTCCTTCGAGTACATTTAGCTGTAATCATTGTGATCGTATGTTCACAACGTACGCAGCAAAAAACAAACATATTGATGTTGAGCACATGATTGAAATTGAGTGTGGCATTTGCCATGTTGTTTTACCGACTAAAGAAGCTATGGATAAACATAATAATTCTGTACACCAACCTAAAAAAAAGGAAAACAAAATGTATGAGTGCACTACGTGTGGAAAATATTTTTCTGGTATCAAAGAAGTTTTAAGTCATCGAGAAACTCATTTATCCAAAAATGTATAGTTAGAGCTTTTGTATAGTTTTTTTTTTAATATGCCATGACTGAATTTATATTTATTTTACATTTCTTTCTTTATTTTCTATATTCATTTTGAATTTTAATATTATTTTAGTTACTGACTGCCTTTCAATCAGTATAAAATGTATTCATTAGTGTTTATTACAAATGTGAGCATTATATTAGATATCTTTGTTTTATAATATTATTTTAACTATTATTTTAACTATCAAAGCCGAATAAAGGTTTTAATGGCAATTCATAGTTAAAACCTAGGTAACATTAATTTTAAAAATATTATTACAGATGTGTTAAATAAATTGTATGCAATAAAATTTACCAATAAGGTAAAGTAAAAAAAATATAGTTAGGTACATTATTTTTTGAAATTTGAATATTAGTTTACATTTTTCAGAATATTAAATATTGTTTTTATTATTGTAATTTACTTTATTTAATTAAATTTTAGATTCTAAATGGAGCAATGAATGTATTGATTTTACAAAGACTATTTTTTGTGATTTGGGTTGGATGAAAGGTATGTCCATTGTCCACATTAATACAAAATTAATAATATTTTAAGATAAATTTGGATAGCTTATCCGTAAATAATTATAATATTATTATTATTTCTTAAAACTTTTACGAATGGAGGAAAATATATAATAAATTAGTGGCACCGACTCATTTTTTGGTCCAATTTTATTCTTGAAATAGTTATATTTATGAAATTAATGTATATTATTAATTATTATTGATTAGGCATTAGTCATTACTCATCATTACGTACCCATAGTGAAATAGTATACCATCTGCTAGATGTGATCAAATAAAAATGTACAAACCATAGGCGTGCGCAGACTTTGTTCGCAAAGTATGCGGTTGATAAAATGTTCCATTTTATAACCCCTTCAAAATTATGAACTGAGACATTGTTCATGTGCCCCCGCGTCTGGCCGCAGGGTATGCGAGGGCATACCCTGCATACCCCATGCTCACGCCTATGGTACAAACATCTTAGCTATTTTGGGGGTTTTTAGGTTATACCTAGGTTAAAGTTTGAAAATGTCATTCTGTGTATAAAATAAAATAAAGGTTTCAAGTTGGTAGATACCGTGGTAACCTATGTTGATAAATCGTGGCTATATTATGTATCTTCATTATTTTTGAACTGTAATTATTCTACTGCAACAATATACCTATGGGAAACCCTGTGTTTAAATGTTCATGATTTTGGACTCAATGTATACAATTTTATTTATTTATTTAAATGAAATACCTACATTTACCAACACACTGTTGTTTCGCCGATTATATTCGACAAAAACTGAGAATTTTCAATTTAAAGTCTCAAATTACCAACTTGAATATTTTATCAGAAACTACCCTCAAAGTCCAAAATCGAGGTATAGTATTGTATATGTCCACTACTATTTAAATATAACACATTAATGTATATGGACAATTGAACATCGACATACATATTGTTTCAGAATAAGATCAGTATCATTGCAGTTTATTAGGTAAGATACTAAGATGTACCTACATTTGAAGTACAACTATGACGTTATTTATTTGTCACCTGATGACGCTACCGTCAATTTCATATATACAGGTAAGGCCTCAAAGAATTCTGGGAGAATTAACCCCCTTAGCCCCCCTACCATTCTACGCTTATGGTCCAGCCTCGATACGATGCTTTGCCCGGGTCTGTCAATTTTGAGCTCTCGCAGTACCTACACATATTTTCATTTATGTCGTACCCAATACCCATATATTGGGTATAACGTATAACTATTATCAATGTCCAGATCATAGTCCCCCCATGATCCTCAACAACGACACGATTCCCAAAACACAAGCCACCCGTTACCTCGGAGTCCACCTCGACAGTAAATTCACTTAGGCATATTACAAAAACAAAAAGGAAATCACTCAATTTAAAACTCCACAAAATGAAACACCTTCTTAAATCAAATCTATCTCACTCTCAACACAAAAGTCGTAATCTATAAACAAATTCTCCGCCCTTCAATGACTTACGGAATAGATCTATGGAGTACCTGTAAAAAATCCAACATTCGAAAATTCCAATCCTTCCAATCAATTTGCCTTTTCCTCCTCACCAACGCCCCCTGGTACGTCAGCAACCTCACACTCCACTCTGACCTCAAGATCCCAAACATTAATACCCTAGCCCCCCACTACTATAAATTACTTCACAATAACACAATCAACCACACTAATCCACTCATTTCCAATCTCTCCTCCCTCACTCTCCCCATTAACCCACCACGTCGTCTAAAGCGAAATTGGCCCAGGGACCTCCTCAATCAATAAAAAGAGAATTATAAAAGTCTAGAATTGAAGTAGTGTTGTTTGGACACCCCCTTCCATCAAGCCGTCCAGTTTTGTAAATTATTAACCGTATTACTTATTGCATCGTATAATACAGATTGTATATATTTTTCCTTTTAATAAAAAAAAAAAACTATTATCATTGATAATCAGTGCTAGTACCTATATAATATTAAATTGGCGCTTATGTCCCACACATTTTGGCGGAAAATGATTTGTCATTTTTACACCTCTGGCGCTTATGCCGCATAGGTGATAAATGTATTGATTTTGCAATGATATGTTTTAAATTTTTAATGGATACAATGCGGGATGATATTTAAATGTTATGATATAGTTTATAGCTATACTAGGTAGTTAGTACTGTTAGTAGTTAGTCGATACAGATTGTATTAGACCAGCGGCAGTCATCAGAACTATTATTACGTTTGATGTTTAATAATTATTCATACTAATATACTATGCGACATAATAATAGATAATTTACTATGAAAGGTATTTATGGTAGGCGCAATTAGCTTTTTAATTTTTATAGTGCCGTGAACTAAAAAAGTTTAGGAACCTCTGAGTATACTATATTTTATCACACCAAAAAGGAAAAACCCTCATTGTTCCATGTAAAAAAAAAGCTAATTAAAAAGATCTTATAGCCATTCAAAGTTGTAACACCAACAAGTTTCATTGCGCCAAGTAAACCGAACATTTTAGATACTTAATAAAAGCGTGGGACACATAGATAATAAGTAGGTAGGTACTAATGTACTATATATTTATATACTTGGCCAGAAAATGTTTACAGGGTATATCGAATTGTGATATATGTTTAACACATCACACTTATTATATTAATAAATATACTTCAAATTGCAATTTATTATATTGTAAAAATGTTCTCGCCTTATTAAAATATTAATAATTGAGTACCTAATATTTTCGGTTTGTTTAAAATGCTAAGACATAAGTTTTTTGAAACTGAACAACATTTTTTTTATTTATGTAAGGTGTTTATATACATTGGCGCAAATACAAATATAATGATAACAAATAATAAAATATACAAATCGTGGGGGGCTTAGCCCCCCCCCCCATCGAAATTTATTAGTGTCCCGTAAACTATTCAAAATTCAATAATTTTGAAATTTGATAAGTGTATTTTTTTTCTAATATTCATATAATTCATATACCTATATATATGCATTTACATAAAATTTAAAGATTAAAAAGTAATCATAATTAAAATAGCCAATAGGTATTCAAAAATTTACGTAATTTGGAGATTATGTAACTTATCATGCTACGTATAATAATATGATGTTTTCATGATAAATACAATAGGTACCGTGGCTAGGCGTGGCGCGTTGGCTGCTACCAGTCGCGGAATGCGACTGGGAGTAAGTAACGGCCACAACTACTAGCTCCCGGATGGGTGACCACCCGGGTTCGTAGTAGTTAAATAATAAAAACCTAGCCACACATACACGTGTTTGCTACCTACCGTAACAACCCTAACAATCATAAAAAAAAAACAACCTTACCCCTACTAGCTACTACAGTTCATTACCCCTATAATAGCTAATGACATGGGGATATCCCGACTGCGTCCCGTTTTTAATTTTTACCTTTTTCATAGTCCCAGTGCGTCCGCCGTTTTATCGACAAATTATATTACAGTGCCCGAGTGCGTCCTCGGTCCACAGTTGCTATAGGTATCTATTTAAGATATTTGAACACTGGAAACGGTGGGAAATTAATTTTAATTAATCTATTTGGCTTACCATTATTAAATCAAGTAGATTCAGAAAACTATATTATTGAAGATTTTATATTTATAATGCCAAAACATCAAAAACTTAACGAATTTATGGATAATATAATAGAAAATTATACAGATTCTGGAGTAAAATTTCCTATTTCCATGTGGGCTAAAATGAATAGAAGTTCTGAAAGGACAACAAATGCTTGTGAAAGCATTCATTCCAA